TGCAGGCACGTCGGCTCTCCCCCGTCTGGGCTTTTTTTGGACTTAAAAAAAAATAATCCCCTAATTTAAAGCAAAAAATTAATACCTGCCCCGTTATCTGCTCCGGAGGTGAAGGCGCGCACCGACCCCCGGCGCACCCGGTCTCTCTGCCCAGGGGAGGGTCGCGGGAATGAGTAGGGGGGATCTGCTTCATGCTCTGTCTAAGGCGGGGGAACGGACTTTTTTGGGATCTTTGCACGGGCTCCAGTGGGCCATGCGAGCGGGACTGCAACCCTGGCTGCCTCCCAGAGACATTGTGCTCGGGAGAAACTGGGGGACTGGGTTTGGTGTCTGGGGGGATGCTGCCACCTGAGGAGGGGTGTAAGGGGTGTGGAGCTGCCTGCCTGCCTGCACCGATGTGTGGCAGAGCCTCTGAAGGTTGCCCTGTGTATAGAGGCAATGACTGTGTGTGAAGAATCACTATTTTATTAGATGTAACGGAAGGGAAAAAACCCCATCAAACTAAGTCTTGGGACATTGAAGCACTTTTTCAGATCGGGGAGACAAACTTGATACCAGGTCCCCATCACTGATGTCAGTGTCCTCACATTAGGAGCCGCACCAGCACTCCCATGTGCATGTGGTGCACGTCTACTTTTAACCAGGGCTTTATGAGGCTGGCTGCAAGCTCCCGGCTCCCTAGGGCCAGGGCCCTTGTGCCAGGGTCCGTAGGTTGATGTCTTTCCACTTTTAAGTATTTGCAATGTATAGATCTGAGTGTTCCTATATATGCGTGTTGGAAGCAGTTGGAGGGGTAGATATGTATAGGACATCATGTGTTCAAATGTGACTTGCTTAAGTGAGCTTGTGAAAACTACTTTGATGTTCTAGTGAGATGCCGTATAAATTAACAGTGCATGTGAAGCCCTCCAAATTGTGTGTGTCTAACACTACATATGTGCACTGTCATATGCAAATACATTTTTATACTTTTTTTTTCCTTTTTTTGGTTAAAAAGTAAAAACCCAGTTGAACTCCAAGCAGGACAGGGAGTTTGCGCCTTTAGTCACTTGCAATGAACAATTTCAGCAACCTGCATATGTTAATGCAAAACAGTGTCAGGACAGAGGGGAAGTCTGTCAAAGTCTGCAGCATGAGTGGTGCCTGGGGAGGGCTGTGGGGGGCTGTGCCCTGTTTCCTGAAGCTCTGTACCGTGTTTCCCGGGCTCCCCGGGGCCCCCCTGCACACCGGTAGCTGTTGTTTGACGTGATACGTGTGACACTGGGGACTGCTGGCGGGCCTCTACACGGGGACTTCAGCCAGCACCTGACCTATGGATTTTCCTCTCCCCAAATCCTGCCCCTTTCCCCCTCCTTGACAGCCCCCCCAGAGAGCCGCTGCTTGGTTGTGCGCAGAGAGGTGGGCTTGGTGAGGCACCCCAAAAACGCCCCACCCAACCCCCGACACGAGTGGCATGAACTTGGAGCCGGGCGAGTGCGGGATGAACTCGGTGAGCTGTGGCAACGGGAAACTCCGCCAGTGGCTGATCGACCAGATAGACAGTGGCAAGTACCCAGGACTGGTGTGGGAGAACGATGAGAAGAGCATTTTCCGCATCCCCTGGAAGCATGCTGGCAAGCAGGACTACAACCGCGAGGAGGATGCCGCCCTCTTCAAGGTAGGGCTCAGCCCGGGGTCAGGGTTTTGGGCCACAGTTGGGTCAGGAGGGATGCCCAGAGGCTCTGTGGTGGCCCCTTGCCATCCCATTCTTGCCACCCACCTCTGCAGACTGGCTCTGCTGGGTAGCCCTGGCTGTGCCCTGATATCGTCCGTGTTTGTGGGATGGGACCGCCCATCCTTTCCCACTTCTAAGTGTGGAGCTAAATGCTTGTGGGACTGCAGTACATCTATTTCCACATTTATCTTGCATAATTTTCTCCCCATTCTTGTGCCTGCTAAACTGTTTTTCCTACCTCACCATGCTGCTTTTTTTTTCTGTTAGCCTAAACCTGTAAGGAGTAGATTCGTGCACATATAAGCACATACATATGTGCTGTTTCAAGCATTGTGGACTTGCACCTTGTTAATTTTTTTTTCTTTTTTTTTTTTCCTTGCTCTTTTGATTATCCGAAATGTTTCCAGGCCTGGGCTCTTTTTAAAGGGAAGTTCAGAGAGGGCATTGATAAACCAGATCCTCCTACCTGGAAGACAAGATTAAGGTGTGCTTTGAACAAGAGCAATGACTTTGAAGAACTGGTGGAGAGAAGCCAGCTGGACATCTCAGATCCCTATAAGGTGTACAGAATTGTGCCAGAAGGAGCTAAAAAAGGTAAAGCATCTAAAATTCCCCATGTAACAGAGTGTGAATATGTCTCATTGTACGCACACAAGGACTGAAGCATGCTTTTCTGGAATGGCCCTGCAGTCTTATTAAGTCTTTTAAGGAGCCAAAATGCAGGGCTCAAGTGCAGCTTGATCTGATGACTTAAGAGGCTGTGTCTGCGGGAGTGCCACTGGCATTTGAAAGGGAGCTCTTGCAGAAGATGCAGACATCGCTGAAGAAATTGCTCTTTTAGCTGGAGCCTCCCTGCCAGTTCTGCATAAAGAGAGACAAGGAAGTGGCTCAAGAGACAGGCAAAAAAAATAAAAATTGCTTGCTGGATCTAGGTTTTGAATACAGGGAAGAGCAGAAGTTTTTCTGAGCTGGGCAGTAGGTAACTGCTGTTAGGGGAAGAGCTGGGAGCTGGGAAGAGAGGGATGCCCAGCTTGCAGCCTCCTGGGTAATTCCTGCTCTCCAAGTAGCCCCTGGTGCCAGGCGGGGCTTGTGAGAGGCAAAGATTTGGCAGGGCCCAGGGCAGGGAAACATGATGCACTGAGTATGGCTGGGCAGTGCTCTTCAGTGGGGCACTGGGCAGCCCAGTGGGACAGACTGTGTCCAGGAGCTGCCTGCAAGAGAGCACTGGGAATCCTGTCCCAGATGGGTGCTGGAGGGCATTTTAGTCCTCTGCTTGTTAAAAGGCAGGTTGCAGTGATTCGTCTTCAGTGTGCCAGTTTCAGATTTCCTTAAGAAGTGGTTGACATAATTTTTTCATCCCTCTGGTGAACATAGGTGCAAAACAGATCAGCATGGAGGAGCAGCCATTAATGATGAACCATCCCTTTCCAATAACATCTCCTTACACTGCACTGCCATCTCAGGTACGACATTAGTTACATATTTTTCTTGGTGTTTCTACGTTGAGCAGCATCACTTCTGTGCTATGTGCTATGTCTTGTCTTTGCTGGCATGGCTCTCTAGTTCTCTTAGGGAAGAAACTTTAATATTTAAACTGCAAAATTGAGAAGGAACTTTTCTAATGTCATAGGAGGCCACAGGGCAGTTGATTTCCCTTGGTGTTGTTTATCCCTGAGTAACAGCTCTCTTTTGTTGAGTGATAGGTATTAGAGCACTGCCATTCTGTTGGTGCCAGCCCCCAATGAAGCCTTGCTCATCCAAGTAGACATTTACCAGCAATGCTTTGACTGCCTTTTGTTATTCCACCCTGCTTATTATTCACACCAGTGGTGAGAAGTTCATTTGAAAGCCTCACTGGTGATGGTGGCAAAGTGCTATTTGCATAGCCTGGGCAATGCTTAGAGCTCCGTGGGCTTTGGCAGAGAAAATTGAGGAGCTGAAATGTGAAAACTGGTGCAATGCACAGAATTATTTTTGACAGCTGCTGAGTATAAGGATATCTTGTTAAATCTAATAGGTACCGAACTACATGGTGCCCCATGAACGGAACTGGAGGGAGTTTGCCCCGGAGCAGCCACATCCCGACATCCCCTACCAGTGCCCCAGTGTCCCTTTTGCAGCTCGCAGCCACCACTGGCAAGGGCCCAGCTGTGAAAATGGTAAGACGCTCCTATTTAGGGTTGCTTGCTGAGGTTGGACACCTAGAAGAACTGCAGATTGCAGGTTTCTTATTTGTGACTTTGATTAGAGTTAACAGAAGTGGCCAGAAAGGAGTGCTGGGCTCCCTTCAAAGAGCCATGGGGCCCCTGGCAAGAGCCTTTGTCCTGGCTCTTGCTTTCACTGCCACCAGACTTGCAGTGTTTGGCCTACACAGTCCTCTGAGTTGATGCAAGTCAGCGTCCCAAAGTCCTCAGCTGTCTCAAAAGCCCTAAGCAATAAGAATGGAAACAATCTCCCCTCAAGCCCCCAGATGGGAACATGTGTTCTTTAGCTTTGCTTTCTGATTTTGGACCATCTGAGGCACAGATCAGTGAGGTTTTCCTTCCAGCCTTGTGGATTAGATTGGCATCATTCTCCTGAGAGGAAAGCTGAAATTATTACTTTATTTTAGTGCTGTGGCAATGGGACAATTTGTCATGGATTGAGCCTCTCTTGGGGCTGGTACAGCAGAAACTGAATAAAGGGACGTTCCCTTCCCCAAAGATCTCACAGTACCAGAGCCTAACACAATCATGGCCTTCCAAACTCTGCATCCTTAGGAAAAAGCCTGAATAGTGAAAACTGGCAATGCTACAGCCTACAGGGGATGAAACACAAGAGAAGGGGAACCATATGCCATAAACCCTTGCAGAATACCTCACCTGAGGATGCAGGCTTTTGCTTTGTGAGGAGAAGCAGCTGGTTCAGAAGGGCAGGAAAGGATGGGAAGCGAGGAAGGACTCTTTAGAGCAGATACCACATTTTCAGAGGACAGTTCTCTAGAGGTTTTGGTGCAGAGAAAAGTCTGGGTCTGCTGAAAAGTAAATGCTCAGTGCACTGCGACTTTTGCTGACAGTATATTGGACTTAGTAGACAGAATCCTTTGCCTTTAGTTGAGCTATTTGCTAATAAAACATCAAGGTATCAAGCTGAATGAACACTGCCCTGAAGTTATCCCCTGCAGTAGTTAGTTAAACATATGTTTGGTCGCTTTGCTGAATTTGGAGGCAGTTATCAGTGGCTGCTATTTGGTTTCTTGTTGGGCTCTAAGACTTCTCCAAGAGATGCGGGTGTTTTACATCCTCATTGCCCCAGCTCCTGATCCTGGTGGGTTCTGCCATTGGGAAAGGTAGCGTGTGGTTGTCTGCAGGTCACTTGGGTCATCCTCTAGAGACTTTCAATGACAATAAGAAGCAGCGGAAAACATGAATTGCTCGTGTTATAATCCACTTACTGAAAGGCATCTCTCGGAACAGTCTAATAGCAGTCCTGGTAACAAAACCCTAATAATCTCCTGCTGCACAATTTTCTTTACGTGTTTTTTAAACTGTGCTAATTCCAGCTTTATTGTTATGCTTGTCTTTAGTAAAATTCCATATACAAAATGGGTTGTTTTATGCAGGCGACTTTTAAGAGCACTGTGGTCTAGTTAAAAATGTAAGTTATTTCTGTATTAGAATAACATGTTAGGTAAGGGAAAAAGATTAGGGGGAATACTGAGATGCCAAGGGAGTATTTCATGCAGACCCAAATAAAAATTCAGTCCAAATAACATCTAGAGAGACTGCTGCAGTTGGCATACCTGGGAAAATTGGGAAATAAGACCTTTTTGAGAAGGTAGGGGGAATAGAGAGAATTCCTGGTGGAGCTCAGAAAAAAAACAACTCGCTTTTACATCGCTTTGATCTATGCCCCAGCTTCTCTTTTAGGATTTAGGCAGCTGTCACTGACTTTTGTTTGTGAAAACAGGTTGTCAGGTGACAGGAACCTTTTATGCTTGTGCCCCTCCTGAGTCCCAGACTCCTGGCATCCCGATTGAGCCAAGCATAAGGTCTGGTGAAGCCCTCGCCCTCTCAGGTAAGGTCCGTAACCCCCCGGGCTTTCTGAGGAGCTTGACAAGAGACTCCCACTTCTGACTTGCCCTGGCACCATCTCTCCTTTCTGATGAAAGAAAAAAAAAAAGAAGAAAAAAGCAAAAAAAAATCTCTTCAATGAATAAAATCAGTGTATGCTTAAGCCTCTATTTGCCAGGATATTGAAGCACTGGTAGCCCCAACTCCAAGGGATGAAGGTGGTTAAAGTTAATGGAAGTGCTTTGCTGGCTCATGGTGTTAGCACTGGGTTGCTTTGGTAAGCCACCAAATCAGGCCTTGCCAGGTGAATTTGAAAATCTTGGGAGAAGGGGTGTCAGTGACCTTTAGGTCAGTTTTTCATTTGGGAGGAGGCCCCCCGATAACTGGAGCTATCTAGGTACCTTGCTGGGCTCCTGCTGGTGCCATCTGGCTTTGCTCTGCTTCATTATTCCTGGTGAAAAAAGGCATTTGGGAAAGAAAAGGAAAGTTATTTCAGCCAGGTTTGCAGATGTCTGGATGCTGGGGGACTTTCTGAATAACTCTGGGAGAAAGTATGGGAATGTGCTTTTCTCAGAACTGTTGGATAAACCTGTAACGTAACGCTCGGTGGGTTTCTTGAGCGGGAGTGTTCTCCTGAATCAGGGTCTGTATGTGTACATGTATTTTTAAGTATACACACACACATATATATTATATACATATTCAATGCTGTGTGAGTTGTTAGGAATCAGGCAAGTAGACTGAATGGACATTTGAAAGTAAGGCTGAGGATTTTGGGCATAGCCCTTTTGGAGCTGGAGCCAGCAGTTGCTTCTCTTCAGGCAGCAGAGTGCAAGTTTGCGAGTCCCCTGTGCAGAAGTCTCTTTTATGCAAAATATGGGGAGAAACACAGCTACTTCCTGATTATATCTGAGGAAGTGTACTGAGTTGGTGGGTTTAATTGTGATGTGAACTTGGAAAATGTGAGAATAACAACTTCTCACGTACCAACTTTTCCTTTTAAACGGAAATGTGAAGTTTGTGGGATGTTAGTTCCCACCAAATTCCCACATCAGTAGCCCTTATAATAAAATGAGAAAGCATTAATGCTACCGTGCCCCCAAAGTTTTAGTATTTAAATTGTTTACGTGATTTTTTGCTAATATGAGCCTGTTTTCTGGGTGGTGGTTACCACCAGGCTCAAAAATCTCATACAAACATGTCTCTTGGGCTTAGTGCAAATCTAAAACATAAAACATTTGTACTAATATATTACAGTGATTTTTTTCTTTTTTTGTCTCCTTGTAGATTGTCGACTCCACATCTGCTTATATTACCGTGAAATACTGGTGAAGGAGGTGACAACTTCTAGTCCTGAAGGTTGTAGGATATCCCATGGCCACAGTTACGAGGTCAGCAGCCTGGAGCAAGTTATCTTCCCTTATCCAGAGGATAACGGCCAGAGGAAGAACATAGAAAAACTACTGAACCACCTGGAACGAGGAGTAATACTGTGGATGGCACCTGATGGCCTCTATGCTAAGAGACTTTGCCAAAGCAGGATCTACTGGGATGGGCCTTTGGCGCTCTGCAGTGACCGGCCCAACAAGCTGGAGCGGGACCAAACATGCAAGCTCTTTGATACTCAGCAGTTTTTGGCAGGTAATTCCCTTATGGCTTTGATATGATTTCTGGAGATGTCACCTGGTCACGCTCCACGTCAGCTTTATGGGAGCGCTCTTTTTGTGTTACCTTAATGAGTTACAAATTATCACTTCTAGGCAAGCACAGTCAAGGAGTAGTTGACCGCTGAATAATTCTGTCAAATTCTGCTCTCTGTGGACATTCAATGCCCCTGCACAAACCAACAGGAGTGAGCTGATGCTCAGCTGCTGACACCCCAAACCCCACGTATTTTAAGAAATGTAAGGAGGAACCTAACAAAATAGTCTTTCCACAAATTGAGTGACAGGAACATGGATCCTGACCTTGGATCTGCTAGTGTAAATCCTGGCTAGGTCTGCACTCGCACTGCTCTCAATCTGACCCAGAGTGAGCCTGAGATCTTGCTCAGAGTATACAAATATCAGCATGAATTTCAGTAGGAAGCCTTCTTTTCAGTCTGTGCCAGTGTTTAAAAAATATCTTGGAGCTGAAAAGGATTTCACAAGCTGTGGAGTTTCAGGATTTGCCTAAGCAAAGAGGTGCATTACCTCTCCAGAGCTCTGTGGGAAGGTCTCATTTTGCGCAGGGCAGTACAGAGAGGGCAAGGGCATGCTTAAGGATGGCGCCTTCTCCTTCCAGCCCATGGAGGAAGAGGGCAGAGCCTCAACCCTGTTTTCCAGCAGTTCTGAGCAGTTGGAGGGAAGAAGGCTGTCCACCTAGAGAAACTGGTGGAAGCCTGTCATTGTCCCAGAGGACAACCTGAGCAGCAG